CTGCCCCCTACCCACAGAGTTTATTTTAAGTGCTGAAACACTGCAAAGATGCCAAGTCATAATCCAAAAAAGCACTCTGGCTTCAGCAAAACGTACCACAATTTAGTTAGCTTATAAATGTAAACACCCATGCTTAATGAGTTAGTGGTGCACAGCAGTACTGGAGTAAGTCCTTGAATCTAGAGAGAAAGAATAAATCTTGTGCGTAAGTGTAGACTAGATTGGCAAAGGCTAAAACATGAATAGCTACTTTAATGGTTATGTCTTACAAAATTTCATTCCATGGATAAACTTTTTTTTTTTAATTGAAATATATAAAGTGTTTTGCACTGCCTAGGAAATCTCACAGGGTGGCAGAAGCTGAGTAACTTTTCTTTTCTCCGCGAGCTCTGTCATACAGCATCTTGTGTTGTTCAGAATTGTGTATGCTGTTCTTCCCGTGTTAACATCAAGATATTTTTTCCTGTGCCTATAGCGCAGAGGTTGAAACAAACCCTAGAGCCCTGTGATACCGAATATCCAGCTTTTGTTTCTGAACGCACTATAAAGGAGACCACGGGGAATATTGCTTGCGATGACTGTTTCAAGTAAGCCCTTTCGATTTCTTATACAACTGTTTGTGACAAAGCAGTAAAACTGAATTATTCAGGTTTGTGCTGAAGAATGTACAAGTCTGTCATGTTCTGTCTTATACAATGACCTCTGTCAGGATGTCATTTCTCTTATTACAGCGGTCATCTGAAGTTTGATATTCTTAAATTAAAGCATGAGTATTATCTTCTTAAAAAAAAAAAAAGGCTAAAACTGATAGAAGGCTCTGCTAATTCCAGAGAATAGTGCATGTTTTAAGTCCTCTTCTCCATGCAGGCAACGTTCGGAGGGGGAATTCTGTAGAGACTTAGGTACAAAAATCATGGTGCTGCCCGCTCTCCTGTACCCCGGGGAAATGCTGCTGGGTGGGTTTGATGTCCCCTGCAGCACGGTGGGCTCTGCTGGTTGACCTGCCTGCCAAGCAGCCCTTCCTGCTTGGAAGAGTGGGAGAGGATTCGTCTATCCAGCAACTTTCAGTGCTGGGAAGCTGAGTTAATAACAGCAAAGTACCATGTCAGCGCTCCAAGCCCGTCAGTCCCACCATTGCCACTGGAAAGGGAATGCATTCAGCCTGGTTTTCTTCCTTCAGTATGAAAATGTCTCCTCTGTGCTTTTAGTGTCTATGTGCAGTGATGTTTTTAGTATTGGTGTGGTATACTGCAAGTGAAGAATTGCACGGGTTTCGAACATGAATATAGTTGATGCAAAATTCTGTGCTTGTAATTGGATTTTCTTGTGCTGAGAGCTCATCATCACAGAGGAGATTATTTGCAGCAGGGCTTCATCTAGCATATAAATGTCAAGAAGAATTACTTAAGTCAAACGAAAGTTGTGACAACTCTCTCCTTCCAATAGAAATCAATGTGCAAAATTAGCAAATCAAGATGATACCAGCCTCCCTTTGAAATTAGTCGGTTTGCCTCTGAGTTTGCTCCTAACCTTTCTTTTCAGCATCTTCATTGTTTTTAATGGGAAACATGAGTAAGTACATTAGAGATGCATTTTAAGTGCTAATGTTCACTTTTTAGCTTACTTCTATGTTCACTTTTTAGCTTACTTCTGACCAGCTTTTCATTAAAAGGAAATAATTGTAAAGTATTGTTTTTTATATGGCTTTGTGAGCTAGGGGTAACCAAGTGCATTGCAAACCAATTCTAGGGAACTCTTAAGTGCAACATTAAGTCCTACTGCCTGAAAGGCAGAGGCTCAGCAAACTCAAGCCATGATTTTCCACTTGATATATCAACTACAATGTATGTTACCCTGCTAGGGATGCTTGAAGCCAACTTTGTAAAATTTAAACAGCCTTATTTTATGATTATTTATCAGAGGATTACTGAGAAGTTGTGTAACAAATTATAATAAATGTCTTATGTTTAAGTATTCCAAACAGACATGATTCCATGAAAAGGAGATTAATTTAACAGGACCAGGTTTTTCTCAAAGGAATGCAGATCTCAGCCTGTCTTCCTAGGTAACTTCAGGTCAAAGGAAATAACTTTCAAAAATAACACAATTCTGCAATGCTTGGACAGCAGTAAGTTGGAAACTGAATTTAGTGAAAATTATAGTATTTCAAAAATAATGCGCTAAGATCTTTTTCATAGAAAAACATTTTGTGTTCCGCAGCGGAAAAAAAAAAAAAAAAAAAAAAAAAAAGTAAGTCCTGTAAGTTACAAACTGATCTCAAGGCACCCATTATTTTTCTCCACAAGCAATGGCAAAACCTAAAGAAATAATCCAGAAGAACTCTTAGATTCTCATGGGAAAGTTCTTCATTATAGCATTTACCCACTGTCATTAACAATCTACAAATTGCATCTAAGATTGCAGACTGCATTGGATTCCAAATATTTTTGTTATAACCCAGGACACTTTCCCGCAGAACAGCTAAGGAATTTGACCCAAAGTCCTTTGTAGACCTACATCTTATGACCCAGTTTTTTGTTTCATGGCCTCAGTACCAATAAATATTTTTACAAGCAAGTGTATTGCTTAATACTTGTAATTTAAGAATGATGGTCTCAATCACTCAAAACTAGGGTTCAACCACATATGCAGTGAGAGTCTTTAACTGGTGCTGCTTTCAATGGTTAATGGCTAAACATTGCCTGGTGCGTGCCGTGGGCTCCACGCAATCCTTTTGCGTTAGTAAGGTTATTTTTGACGCCCTCTGATGTTTGTTGGAACATGCTATAAACAAATCTGTTTATGATAGATGAGGGTAAGTCTAGATTGCAAGTGGAAAAAGGTATTTGTAAGTATTTAGCTGTGTATTCACTCTAATACGCCAACCTTATCATTTCTTTTCAAGGACACTCTTGAACAGTCACTACACTGTGAATATGTTTGCAACACAAATGGTACAAATACTGTACTGTGGCAAAAAAAAATGTTGTGATACAAGTTACTCATTCAAGTCACTGTCTGCCTATCATACGTTGCTGGGCACTGTAGAGCCCATGTCTGAAAAGGGAGATTAAAAAGCAGTCTAATGGTAGTAGTAAAAATGATAGCTGATGCTAATATAAACCATAAAATATTAGATAAGACATTTTGGTGCACAGCTACAACAAAGTCATGGTCATAATCAACAAGGTCAAAGGCTCAGGGCTGGAAGTGCTGTTATTGATCCTACTCAGCTCTTTTCAGTGCTGAATCCAAAGGAAACTGTGAAAATGAACACTATGAAACTACGAAAAAAGCTTTCCAATTATAATTTTTACTAATGGGTGCTTTACAAATCTTTACAAATAAATCACAGTCAGTAGAAAGGACTACATGCTAATTACTTAATAAATAGTTGGCTGACTTACCTTATCAGCTATCTCTGAAAACTTACTCGGTTGATGGAAGGGCCACTATGAAACGAAGTGGACTTTAAGCACTCAGTGCATACAGACATATAGGATATATTTTGTATATGTAAACTTATCTCTTACTAAATGCTACTTGGGGATAACTTGCACTGTTTAAAAATGGTTTTCAAAAATATAGGTTTTATTAAGAAAGCAGGAGCCTAAAAGAAAATAAGAATTAACATAAGAATGTCATTAGGGTTAGGGTTTGGCTACCCCACCCCATAATTTTTTGTCATTCAATATCCCAATGATTATTAAATTAATCTGTTATTTAAACAGGATTCAAAAACAAGTAAACCCACATTTTCTAAGCACTGTCAACAAGACAGAAAAACTGTTTTTCTAAATATGAAATGCTTTCATATTTTCCAGTAAGCTATCCCTTTTTACAGCAAAGAGAAAAGAAAAAGAAAAAAATGCCTTTGAAAACTCAGATGATAGACCGTTAAATATTCCCTGACAGCTTCAGTGTTGGAAATAGTTAATCACTTAAGAGAAAGAGTTTCTTATCAGTGTTGAGTGTCTCTTGGGTCAGAATGACACTAATGCCAAAGGCACTTGCTTATGTGTTTTAAAGGCATTCTGCTGCTTGGAGATGTGTTTTAGATTAGACATTAACTTAGAGACTTTGGATAAATAAGCATCTCATTGCTGATTGCAGATTTTATAAGGTATTTCAGCAGTGTGTTAGCTGAATTTTAATGCAAGTAACTGTGTCAACCAAAATCCTTCATCAGTTCTCACTAGTTACATTGCAAGTTTTTGCTTTCTGCTACTCTCTCATTGCAAAATTTAATTGTTGATGCTTAAAAAAATCAAGAAGAGCATCAATACAAACACAAAGTTGTTATAAATTAGGAAGAATGATGGGTTTTATGATATTATATCAGATAAAGTTGCCTTCCTTTTTCTGGTACCTCTTTAACTTTATTTAGGAAATTACATTTAGATAGGCAATATCTAATCTGATAAAGGTGGATATATACATTTTTTCTGTAGGAACTGAAACTTATTCATCTGGTTATTATTTGAAGTATAAAATTAATATTTCAATTTTCAAAGTTGCAAGGAATTATTTGAATGCACACTAGCTAAATAGTGCTCACGCAACTGTAGAAACTATGGGTTTGCAAACAGGGCAGCAACTGCATAGTCAAATTCTTTAAAACCTGCCTTTTAATCTCTGCTGTTCATGTATGATGACATACTGGGTTTGAATTGAGATCAAAAGTCTGGTTTTACTTCCAGTGACCCGAAAGGCAAAAAGCGCCCTCCTGTTTAACTGCTGCGCTCACGGGTCTGTAAGGTCAATGGCAAAAATCTGAAGAAACTGTTTTGTTCTCAGTTAATTCCTTGCGCCCAATCTTAAGAGATAAAATAAAGGAAAATGTAAATACCAGAAAGCTATAGGAAGTAAATATCAGAAGCAAGAACGAATGCAGCTACAATCATTCTAAATCAGGGAAAAAACTTACAAAATTATGCCTGTGTTTTAATTACACAAGATGAAACGTAAGTGTTCCCTTTGTTGTATATCCCATGTACAATTGCCTGCTAAATGGATAGGAATTGTTAGTTGATTGAACACTGTCCAAAGTATTATCTGTGTGGCCTATTGCAGTGTTAGAAAGTGCTACTCTTTTCCAGCCATGAGAGAAGTGGATCTAGCCAGGAAGATCATCTATGAACCAGATGTCTTCTCTTCCTTTCTTACAGGCTGGATGTTATGTACTGTTCTGTATCAATAAAAAGAGGTAAATGTCACTGGAATTACAGGCTGGGCTGACACTGAACCCTTCACGTGGATTTATAATGGCAAATTTAAGACTTGTCCACAGTATGTGCTTATTTGGCATTAACAGATAAATAGTGATGCAAATTAGGTTCAGACTGAGTATATTAGTGTCAGGAATAGTGCAATCTGTGTAGACATTAAAATGGTGACAGTTTTAAAAAAACACCTAATCTAGAGACATATCATCATTTGCTAAAATGTTTCTGCATTTTTTGCTCGGTAGAAGTGTGCCAAAATGCTGTACTTGATCATGTTTAAAATGTGTAAATAAGTATGCGGTTCAATTTCCCATGAAATAAATAATCATTTGCCTTTTCAGTTGTAGTTAGTTTACTTCTAA